CAATGCACACACTTACTTGTTTTGGCAAGCTTCTCTTGTGACTAAAGCATGATCTAAGACTTGGAGCAGAAGTTTCAAACATGTATAGATGCTTCATATACTTGAAACAGCTATATAAATTTGCTGTCCTATAATAAAGAAGGGTATTGGATTTTCTTTTTGGTTCATTTTCTTTTTAAATATGAAGTAGAAGGCTTGATTTAATAGACTTTGAATGCTCAAAGATCTGCCTTCTAAGGTTGGCCTTACTACTTACTAGCCACAAGGATTGACCAAGTTATGTGTTAGCAACCTCTTCAAGTCTGTATTTCCAGTTTCTAAAGTAGGGCAGCTTTCTACGAGCAGTAAGCCAGCCAGCACATGTAATGTATTTAGCACACTTCTTGGCCCATATAGACTGAATAAAACTATTTTCTTTTGCTCACTGCCACATACATAATTAAATCAAGATAATCAGTTTTTCTCTAACAAGTCCTCACTGTATAAGTACTACCCACAAGGTTGACACAAGGGGCTAACCGTTTATGTGTATGCCAGGGACTTGTCCCCCTGCTGCTGAGGGCCACTTTTGTCTATCATTGCTTTAATTTACTTCCTACATATCTGACTGCGTTCTTGTTAAAAGGATTTAAATGAAGGGTAGACGAATATCTGCCAGAAATGTTACCTAAAAAATCCTTACGTTAATTATGAGCTTGGAAATCTCTTAGTTGTTCACTTAAAACAGGAACTAATTTGTGAGAAACATAAATATCAACTCAATTTTGCCAAGCAAAACCATTCGAAAGAGAATTCAGTTCCAACTATTACCAGAATAATTTCATTAAACAAATGACATTTTAAACCCTTCTGCTAAAAGGTCATAATCTATAAACAAATTTCTCTAAATCAAATTTACTTCATGAAATTTTACTATCTTCTATCAAAATTGTTATTTTAGCCAAAGGGACCAGCTTAAGATCTTCCTTTAGTTACTGATTGTCTAGATGGATTTCTCAAGATTCTGCTTTAAAACATATACACAAATATGTATCTTTTTGCAACTTTCTATCAAACATTAAACACACAGAAATGAGAAAGGAGCCAATGGAAACAAAAAGTACCAGTAAATGAAATAAAAAATAGAAAACTGAGGCCAATAAGATAACTATCTACAAAGTCTAATTAAGGAAGAAATAGATGAAAAGCAGAATAAAGAGGCATACTACAAAATGATGTCAAGATTATGGCTTAAGAACTGGGGTTTTTGTTTATTTTTTGTTTTTTGAGGGCCACTTTTCTTTGTCCATCATTACTTTAATGATAGGCGTGAGCTAAGTGTTACAACACTAAGCAAAACCAGGCATTTTTCACTGAGACAAGAATTCTAAGTTAACAGAGCATATGGGATGGCTGTGGATGAGCAGAAACTGCACACATCCTACGTAAAGCAGAGAGTGTGCTGCCATGAGGGAATTCTGGCTCAGTGTTGACAGCTCGTCTCATTTTTCTGAAACTGGAAATAATGAATTTTAAGAGAAATCTCCCTATTCTTTTTTTTTTTTTTTTTTTTTTTTGTACCTAGGATGGAACCCTTGACTTCCCACTTTGCAGGCATTTATGCCACTGAGCTAAATACCCAGCCTGAAATTTCCCTATTCTTAAAATGCCACCCAAATTTTTCCCCTTAAAATCTCTACACAAGCCAAATAAAACACATCTTTGGGTCACAATCAGCACACCAGTTTGGAAGCTCTGACACAGTGTGAGGAAAGTCAAGGTTAATACCCTGAAAAAGGGTCAGAAGAGGAAACTGAGACAAAAACAGTGCAGGAAAGAGAAATCAGCAAAGAGTAATAGACACAAAGAAAGAACTCGTGGAGGGGTCAAATACAGCAGTTTGCATAAGGTAAGGACAGTAAGAAGTCACTGGTATTGCATTTAGAAGCAGTTTCAATGGTGTGCCAAGCTAAATCCAGACCATTGCAAAATACGTGTGTACACACACACACACACCACATATACATTTAAAACCATAAAGTTGAATAGCTCTACTGTGGTGTGTAACTAGAAGACCCCCGAGCCTCACGTGGTGACGAGTGGGACTTCTTGGAGGTGGTTGGATCTAGGATGTGTGATGTGGGGATTAAGGATGCGGCACACCCTGGGTGATTGCAGGTAGCCTGGATAGAATATGAGACAGCGAGTGCTGCCATAGGCCGCTGCTTGCTGCTGCTTGCTGCCTTCTGCCTGCCGTGCTTTGCCATGGATTATTTCTCCCATGATGCCCCTCTGCCATGCTACCGTGCCTTGGAGCCAGATGACTAGACTGAAGCCTCTACAGACGGAGCCAAAATAAACCTTTCTTCCTTTGAGTTTCAGGTACTTCAACTCAGCAATGAGAAAAGGAAACAAGACAAACACCATTTACAAATGGTGTCATCCTTCAGCAAGCTTTGTAAATATATACAATATATAGAAAATGCTTCCAAAAAGCACTTGAATACTCCTCAGGAGTCTAGGAAAGGGATTTTCCTAATTTATTCCAATTTACCCAAATACCTAGAGTTTAAGAACTCATTTAACAATAGCATAACCAACCTGACAAAACTCTACATCAATCAAGAATCTTACCAGCTAAATTCTAAGCAGAATATAAATGTCAAATTTGGGGAAATAATACTAGGATTTTTATATTTTATCGGATACTTTGTGGCTTCATAATATCCTACAAGTTGTTCAAAATTCCTATATGCTAACTACTAAGACCAAGGCCAACAGCGAAGTCTCCCCTTGCAAGCATCTCAAGGCTCTGCTCCACCTTAACAGTACGTCTTAGTTCTAAGACTATGATGTCCTATTATGGTTCTGCCTCCATTTCCAATGACATATAGAACAAAACAAAAAGCTTAAAACCAAACTACCCATAAAGTAACTATTATTCTCCTAAGTTATTTCAGTATGCTAAAATAGGGGCTGGGGATTTAGCTTAGTGGTTTAAGTACTTGCCTGGTAAGCACAAGGTAGTGAGAATGATCCCCAGTACCAAAATAAAATAAAAATGATAAAATGATACATGCTGCTACCTAAACTTCCCTGTTTATCTTTGTAATTCTTGTAGCAGAGAAACATCATTACTCCTACTTTATAACAAGTAAACTAAAGCTCTGAAAGTTATAACTATATGGGTCTCATCTCAAAGCAAATGCCAGTTATCACTACTATATATGACAATGTCTAATAATGTTCACAAATATTCCCACTCCTTCCTTCAGGACACCAGGACAAGGCTGCTCTTCTGGGCCTCTCCAATGTGTGTGTCTGTTAATTAAAGTCAATGAATGAAAATGCAGTCAATTAAAGTCAATGAATGAAAATGCAGTGTTTCTCCTGAACCACAGAATTTACTTGCTGAAATGAGGTCTTTCTGAATGCTCTCTTGTAGCAGTTCTTGAGTGTAACAGCTCCAGAGGCCTTGGGTTCCAGAGCACAGAAACAGTACGAGCCCCAGTCCACTTACAGACTGTGGAACATGCAAGAAATACTCTTTGATTGGTACCAAGACCCCAAGGTTTTCAAGTTGTTGCTAGAGTATAATGTTGTCTATTCTGAATGCTACCACCAGTGATCTCAAAAGCCAAATAAACACTTCGTAGTGGTTAAGAATTAGAGAAAAGGAAACCAGTTAAGGTCTATAGAACTCTGCAAACTGAAAACTCTGGTAAAGGCATGAAATGCAGATGAATAACTAATACTATACTCTAAATGGTTTTCCTTAGAACACTGCACCCTCACTAGCAATAAAACTTAAGACATATTAAGTGGTCTCAACTGAGAAAATTTGTCCGCAATGAAACAGTTTTTTGTTCTTACAACTTTAAAAGGAGTACTACAATGACTAGAGGCCAGGTATGGGGCCAACTATCAAATGCACAGAAGAACCCCACAACAAAAAATTATCAAGCTCAAAACATCAATAGGGCCATAGTAGAGAAACTCAAGCCTGATGTGTAAATCCTTTCCGGTTTTAGGCAAGGATCACGGGGTAGGAGGTGCAAAGTGTCAGATTTGAAAACAGCAATTTTTAAAAAATGAGATCATTATTTTTCCTTACCAATTCATGCAATGGAGTTCTTTTAAATCCCCATGTTGATGCTGTATTGGCTGAAATTATGAACACGTGTGACACAGAAATGAAGCAGCAGGATATACTCAGTCCTCTTTATTAGAAAATTGATCAATTCAGCAACTTTACAAAACGGCAGTGATTATAATCATATAGCATTCGGTAACTCACACTGGTCATCTTGGTCATGTGAACTGTAAGCCCGGTGTGGCAAGTGCACCCTTGTAATCCCAGCAGTCAGGAGCTGAGATGGAGGGACAGAGTTCAAGGCCAGCCTGGGCTACATGGTGAGTTCAAGACAGCGTGCACTACGCAGTGAGACTCTATCTCGGAAAGAAAGAGAGAAAGAGAGAAATGGAAAGAAAGAGGGAAAAGAAGGAAGGACAGAAAAAGGAAGGAAAGAATAATTGGAAATTCTATGAGTTTAAAGAAAGTATGAAATTAACTTAAATTCTCAGAAAAGCAACCGACCTGCTCCTTCAGCTAGTACACGACAGTCTATACCAGTCTATACCAAAGGCCCTGTATTGTGTGCTGACACCAATTTGCATAAGCTTCTTTCTTACTGCTACATGTTCCTGCACACAAATGTTTATTTTTAAAAAATTTCATAAATCTTAGAACATCCTTAAAATTTATTTATCCTAAACAAAGTCATTATTCTAAAAAGTTCTAAGCTTCTAAGAGCCATGACTTAACTGGCCATGACTTTATTATCTTCCTGACTAGGCCACAATGCGGTGCTTATGCTGTATTTATCCCAACTCCCTGAAATGCAAGAATATGTGACTATCTTATTCTCAGTTATATGCAAAGAGCTGGAAATATTCTAAAGCTAAATGAGCTTTTTCAAAATTCTAAAATTGTTAAAGAATGACAAAATGAACAGCCATGGTTGATTTAATTCATTCACTTTTTATTCTTCTTTTGGCAAACATCTGAGAATCTCAGCAAAACTACATTGCTCACTATAATTACATTCATTTTTACTTTACACAAGTTGTAAACATTTTTAAGTGGATAGAATTCTTGGCTAAGGACATTTCCAGAACTCTGACGTATACTTTTACAAATCAGGACAAAAGAATGCTTATATAATATCCATTAGACCATCATACAGCAAACTAAATTAGTATATGTACTTTCTGTAATTTTTAAAAAACTTTTCAGTTATAGATAAAATGATATTTACTTAAAGTTTTATGAAAAAATAGGTGACCATACAAATCTTGTTCATAACTGTACTGACCATGATCATTTAAAAATAATTTTAACAGACACAAAAAACAAGAATGTTTTGACTTTTTGTCAAAAAAAATTACTTATCTTAGAATACTTTTGATGAAGGTAGACTTTACAACTAGATTTCACGATGTTTTATTACTTCTTAATGCTAATATTTTAATTTTAGAGCAAGAAAGAGTACTTTAAAATAAACACAAAGCACTTTATATTTTACAGCTCCATTTCTTTATTAACTTCAGACCTCAAAAAAATCCAGGTCAAAGGTTAAAAAACAGGGATATTTGAAAGTACCTTGTTTGGCAAGCAGAGTGGTTTTTAAACTGTTGATTAGGACACCCTTGGGAAGTACAGACTTGTTCTAGTGGACCACAGCCCCTACCAGCTTCTCAGTGTTACCTGTTGCCCAGGTGAGACTGGCTCCACTTATCATTTTTTTGGGGGGGGGGGGCGGGGGGGGGGAGTTGAGACAAGGTCTTGCTCTGTTGTGTGGGCTGGCCTTGATCTCACTATGTAGGCCAAGCTGGCCTCAAATTCAAGACGATCCTCCTGCCTCATCCTCCCAATGGCTGGGGTTACAGGCATGTAGCACCATGCCCAGCTCCATTTATAGTATTATAAACCCAATTTTTACTCATAAAATTATACATAAAACAGAATTTCAAGGAACTTGGGAAAAACACATCAAAAGTTCTTATTTTCATAATTTTTTTTTACATAACAAATTATCAAATATACTTGCATAGATAGGGACTCTCCTTTTAGGAAGAATACTGTTATAAGTTAGCTGGCATTTAAATTAGACAAGTCATTCACACAGAAAACCTGATTTTACTACACAGCTGTTGGCTCTTCAACCATACCCACATAGGAAACATAAAAGTTCTCAAATATTTGAAAGGAAAAAATGACAATACTAGAGAATGAATAAAAAGGCAGCAATCATGTAAAACAAATTGGAAAGAGGAAGAATTTGAAGTAAATGTGGCCTTGGCCCCTTTTACTGCCAAATCCTCAATTTATAACAATATAAAGAGGGAGAGAGGCTTCTGGGAAAAGTTGACGGGAAGCAAAACTGCTGAGCAGTGATAGAAAAACCCACTAGAAAACATAAAAACCCACAGTTAGGAAGAGCATCAAGAGATGATGGCACGGACTCCAGCCTGAAGCTTAAGAAACACTGGAGGGTAACAAACAAATTAGACCATAATGTGCTAGGTCTTTTTAAAGTTATATGCAAATAAAAGGCAAACTTCTTAATTCTTTAGAGTTTAAAGCAGACAAGAGTGAACATGTTTATCTCTTTGTCTCATTTCTTTAAACCTCACCACTGATTTCTATCTGAATATTTAAAAATTCTTAATTATTAAAGCAAGCTTCTCAGCTGCTCTTTTGAAATGTACAGTAGTATATAAAAAGCTTTACCACATTAATTCTATGAACACCAAATTTACTACAATGAAGCTTTTATAACCATTTTATGACCATTAATTAAATTTGCTACCACCATACATTATTTGAATGACAAAGAGAAGCAGTCACTTTAATTCTTCAAAAAATTTGCATTGAATGGGCTGGGTAGATTTAGTTCAGTGGCATAAGCGCCAGCCTGGTAAGCACGAGGTCGTGAATTTGATCCCCGGTACCAAAAAACAAACAAACAAACAATCAGTGCAGTTTGAAAAAAATTTACATTGAAATGATTACTTGGGAAGCTTTCATCATTGGGGAGAATTTTTAAACATTTAAAATTTACTCCAAACCAGAATATTAGGAAGACAGAATTAAAAATATCAGTGAGGAGGGTACTTTCTGGGCCTGTGAATGATGTTCTTCACAAAAGACTTAGCAGTTCTAAGAATACCATGAAGAGGAAAATGGTTAAAAAATTTATCTCTGATATATTTGACATAATCCTAAAAAGCCTGTTTGTAAACTTATTCATAAAACTGATTAAGGTAGTTGTGTTTTTCAATAGCATTTAGAACAATCTAGCACTTGGCAGGAATACTCAGACTGGCATACTGTTCTAAAACATAAATACATGTGTAACATTTTATAAACTAGCTGCAATTTTCAGTAACTGTGTTCACCAACCGTGTAACAGAATTATAATGTTCTCCTAAGCCATACGCATGCCTCATATATCTGCAATGAAAGAAAAGAGTATTTTGATAAAAATACCATATATAAGTGCTTATTATCCTATAAAAACAAGTACACTGAATAACTCAGCCCAGAGGGGTATCACTCAATAGACTACATGCATTCCACACCATTTGATAAGTATCAGCAGTCAGCAAATGGTTTGTCCACCAGGGAAAATGGAAAGGCTGAGATGAGAGCTCAATAAATTTCAAATTTTCAACTAAATTCAAGTCTTTAATGACTACCTTAGTAAATTTAGCTAATAAACACTAAAGCAAAGAAGAAATCCTCATGGTACATTTCAGAAATTTTCAATCAAAATACATGGACAATATGAACAAAAAAATCTCTAAGGAATATATACACAACATGAACACATTTTACCTTTTTTAAAGAATCTTTATAATACAAAATAGTGATGGTTGTTTCAGGGGCTTTGTACATGCATGTAACATCTTCATCATTTTAAAATCCTTTATCCTCCCTTCTGTTGTATGAGTCAACCTCCTAATTTCCTATATTTCAGCTTTTACATTTGTTGAAGCTCTTAGTTAGCAATATTGTAAAATCAGGACAATATATGAACTAAAGTCCTAGAACTTTGCAGTCTTTAGAAAACACTGTATTTTTAACTCAAATACACAAATAAATCACTAGACGTTTAAATGATTATCTAAATTGTATATTCTGACCATGCTTTCTAGTGCTACAGTTACCTTTAATATAAGGTAATGACTTAATTTGATTAGAGTATTTTTTGATAACAAAAGTCTAATAAATTCTTCTTTAAATCCTTTTGTCTTAATTATGAAAATAAAATAAATTTTTAGATACTTACACAAGTGTTAATGGCTTTTTAGAATATTCTTCGCCAACTACAATAGGAGGAGAATCTGCCTGTATTATCTCTATAGGTGTCTGTAAAATGTGAGACAGAGCTCTTAGCTACAGAAAAAAAAAAAAAAAGTATTAGTAAGGAAAATAAAAATGTAAATTTTACTCAAATCATAAAGTACTGAGGTATATACATACACATGAACACGGCAACAAGTTAAGAGTAAGGGCATGCTCTGTTTCTATCCACCAAAAGTCTGGCACACTGTACAACAAATAGTTACTGAATAAATATATAAATATAGTATCTGTTAAACCAAAGACAACAATTTTTTAAACCGTACACAACAGCTTTGTAAAAATACCAACGTCCCAGTTAATAAAATGGGATGATGAGATTTGATTTATTATGATATTTAAAATACTGATAGTTAAGCACCAAATCAAATCAATAACAATTTAAGAAGGGGGTGTAGAAGCATATAACAACACAGATTTTTTTTTTTAAAGCTTGTCAGGATTCCAATGTACAAGCAATATTGAAAAATATCATTCTACAACTTTCAAAGCCAAGAATACAGGGAGATACGCATATATATTAGTCCTTTCAATGAATTTCCATGATTAAAATACTACACTATTTTAAGTAACTTCATAATATACAACATAAAATTAGAGCTTGAAGTCTGATGAATAAGAATTAACAAGGAAATTAATGCTAGTATTTTGTAGACTTGCTATGACTAAGTACTCTAAGAATTTAAACACTAGTATATACTAATTACTAATCGTCACAAACACTTTATGTACTCGTGTTACTTTCAACACTTGATACCTACCAAAATCAAACATTAAGAAATTAAATGAGCTGTACTGAATTAGAGAAGGCTGATTCTAGAGTCAAAGTTCACAAGTGGATTAATGGCTATCAGGCGTCACAGTATCTTGGATCTGTGTATTTGCCCCACTTGAAGAACACAGCCCTTATACATTTTGAAACATGTAAATTACTGCAGGAATATGGAAAGATTTCTATGTTACACAAATATAATCCCATGTTCTATTTTACAGAATGTTCCTTTGAAGTATGTATTTCTTGTGTCTAAAATAACATCTAAAAGAAAACAGTACAGAATGAAGGGTGCAAAATCAGCCCTAGAAATCTTAAGACTTCCTCTAATTCTTGGGAAATCACATAATAAAGATTTTTTTAGGAGGTTTTTTTTTTTTGGCTCCAGTTTTGACTAATGTAAGTGTATTGCATTGTGAAAACAGCAATTCTTACTTCAAATGAATTCATGAATAAATGTCTTTCAAAGGATGTTTTAAAAGGTTTTTTCATTTTAGTAAAGTTGATTAGGCCTCCAACATTTGTTTTACTCTGTGATCTTTATAAGAAAGTTCAGGGTAGTCACAAAGCTACTACAAAATCTGAGTTTCTGAGACCCAGTAGAGGCATACAAAACTAATGGACACAGGTCCCTCTGGTGGAGAGGTACAAGTATCACACTGCTAAGAAAACGATTATGGGGAAATATTTACATCACATCTTCAAATAACACAGTTCCTAAGGCAAAACACTTAGAACCAGCTTCATCCATCTGGCAGCTTAACTTTTATGTGTACTCCCTACCTCACAGAATGTTCACAATGCTTGGAGTATCCACAAAGCTCTTATTATCCCCATTCAGTAATTAAAAAACTGAAACTCCAGAGGTTTCTTGACTTCCCCCAAATCACAAAACAGAGAAGTAAAAAGAAAAGTCAGAACCTGAACCCAGAACTTGCCTTTTTAACCTGTCTTTCTAATAATTCAGATTTCTCATACTATGGAAACTTATACGTGTTTTACTTTATTTCCATGAGACAAAACTAACAGTAAAATTTTAAAAACTTGTCCTAATAAAAATTCTAATAACTTCCTACAATTATTGTTTTCTTGGGGCTACAGATTTAGCTCAGTGGCATAAGCACCTGCCTGGCAAGTGCAAGGTCATGAGTTCGATCCCTGATACCAGAAAAACAAAACAAATGATTGTTTTCTTAATATCAATTGTAATGTATCAACTCTTGCTTTCAAGTAAGTCACTTTCAACAGGAATTCAAAATAACACTTGAAACAGATGTACTAATGTAAGATTTGACTTGTAATTTCATAGATACATATATTTTTTCTATGTTTCATATAAAAGAGAAATAACTTCCTATTGTGATTTTCAACAGTTGATTCACTAGGGCAAATTTTATCTTGAGTAAAATCTTCACGTTTTTAGTACAGAAAGTTGAAGACAGTGGCAGCATCACAAATGAAAACATACAGCTGAACACCAGCTTCTTCAACAAACAGCTCTAACACTAGCTATTTAAAGTGGGGTGGTGCTTCCCTTACTACAGGTACATACGTTAGTCAAAAGCAAGGGAATGTTAATTTCCCGTTTCTTTTCACTAGAGAAATGGCAAAGATACGAAGAACAATCTGTAAACAAAAAACGGGATCAGTTAAAAATATCTGGATACCACAGAAGAAGTCATTTAACAACCCACAGTTGTATGAATTACAAACATACCTCAAGCTGTCCTCCCCATGCAGCTGTGTTTACAATATCGTCACAGTATTTTCCAAACTCTTCTGTAGAGAACAATCAGAAGACAGCAGTTAATTTTTGTAACTCTTGATACAAGACCCCTTCAATAGCTCCCACAATTTCTGATGAAAATGCCTATATCATATACATCTTCCTCTATCACTTCTCTGCACAATTCAATCACTTTCCCAGGTGCAGAAATAATCCATTCAACTTTCCACCACTTTTTCACCCAAAACCAAATCATTTCTGCTTATTTCTTTCAACTGAAGTCCATACATAACAAATCTACATTTTTGTCTTTACCCTCAAAATAGCCACCATATTTACCATTTTGATATGTGGTTTAAAACCCAAACCTGCATTTAAAAATTGTAATGTGAGAGACTAATGTATTCTATATAATATTTGTGATAGGCAAGAAAAGTGATTTTCAGAACAACCCTGAAAGTAAAAGACCTATTCTGAGTTGAACATGGGCATATTTTTTTCACGGATTTGTTTTTTTTGGCGGGGGTACTGGGAATTGAACTCAGGACTTTGTACTGTCAGGCAGGCACTTAGGCCACTGAGCTATATCCCTGGCCCTTTTCATATAGCACGTTAAAATGAGTCACAAACATTCTTCTTGTCAAGAGAAGGGTAAGAAACTATGGACATCTAAAAGCAAAATGTAGTCCATGTATGTGTCATTCACACCAAAATCCTCAGTGTTGAGAGCAATGCCTGGAATACTGGTTTGCACACAATGCCCTTCAACAAATACTGACTGAATGAAAACAGTGAGGTCTTTTGTATTTTTTCTGACTCAGCACAATGAATTCCTATCTCCTTTCAAATTTCCTACCACTACTAAAGCTGGGGAGTTTCAATGATTCGGTAATCAAACTGGACATGAAGTATAAAAGAAGAGCTCTTTATCAAGTTATTTCTGTGGATATCAAAGTTTATGAAATTATGTTTCATGTCACGTAACAAATTTTCATTATTTAGAAAATGACAGTAATCTAAAAAAAAGCAAAAGACACATTAACATTACCAAAATAACATGAATGGAAATTAGTTGGTCATAAGATTAGAGACACCTAAAGTTAAACTTCAAACCTAGCAACAGATATCTTTAGACTCTGCTCACTAAAGGGACTGCGAGGGATTATTCCTATGTATTCTGTACCATGCCGCTTCACTCTCCCCCACAGAGGGCAGACTCCAATAATGTCAACCCTAACCATACCAACCATACCATCCTGGCCATAAGACTTGCTTCCCAATGGACTCTGCAAAACATGCAGTCTTCTCTCAAAGTCAAACTTTCCTCTACTCTTTATTCCCCAAAAATCTTTTCAGATTTTTACCTGCTCTCTCCCTCATTTGCTAGTTGTGTTTTTTTTTTTTTTTTAGTTCACTACAATATTTTATCTTAAACATCAAAAGTATTGGAGCATTTAAAAAAAGTATTAGAGCAAAAAAGGCAAGTTATTAACTCATTTGTTTTTATAATATCAAATTTACACAAGTAGTATAATTACAATTTTTGAGAATAACATTATATCTACTAGCATACAGAATAAAAGAAATAAGTTCTCAGTCATGTTCTTCTTGTGATCTTCTAGAGATTAGCCAAAGCCTATCTCTTTACGTTGAATTTTAAGTATGAACTTAACGAACTTTTTTCAGTATTAATCCTATTCCTATTTTCATCTTATATAAAATACTTTATTTTAACCAAAGAATGCATAAGTGCTTAAGAAACCTAAACAAAGTAAAATGTGTCAGTATCTATTCAAAGTACAAAAAATCATTCTGACCAAATTTTGTGATAATCTTTTCTTGTAAAGGTTGTGTGGCTTCTTCTTATGAACAGGTCTGCACATAAGTAAAAACAATCAAAACCACTAATAAAATGTACTTTAAAAAATCTACCTGGGGTATACATATCTCCTGTATTAGGGTTTGTTAAAAACGGCAAAAAGTCGTCCACATGGCTTTCCATATATTTAGCCGTTTGACTTCGCAAAGCAGCCACAGTCAGAGCACAGTCCTGTTCTTTCAGCTGATCCTCAATGGCTTTGTACATACAGTGGCCATCAGATGGAATCTGCTTAATTTCTAACTCTCTGGCTGCCAATATTTGAGCAAGTTTTTCATTTTCTATATGTCTGGCTCCAGATAAGTTCTCAATTTCAGCTTCTGCTATCCTTTCTTCCCGTTCCTTTTCCAATGCAGCTTTTTTTTCCTAAAAAGAAAATATAGGAAAGTTGATTCATGATAATCAGGGTTAACTCTCATTAAGGGGATGGAGATACAAGATTCTCAAAATGTTTGGCCATTTTTCTCCCTTTTCCCACAAGCATTACCATACTGATTATCTTATCACTTATACAGTTTTCTATACTGTAAAATTCTTTTAGGACAAACTACCTATCTGATTTGTGTGTTTCTAGCACCTACCTCTGTACCAACACATAAGAAAACCTTTCTACTTAAAACTACCTATCAAGCACTTGGGAAGCTGAGGCAGGAAGATCACTGAGTTTGAGGCCAGCCTGGGCTACAGAAAGAGTTCAGGGGTAGCCTAAACTACAGTGACATCTTGTCTCAAAACCAAAGAAACAAACAAATCTACCTGTCAAATTCCTTCTCTTGCTAACTTCAAAATACTGTCTTAAGACTGAGTTATCTTAAGCTCTAATTCACATTATTATCATAGGTAAGCCCAGGACAATCCAACTTCAACTTAACATTCCATTGTATTTGATATAAATATGTTAAAGCCTTTAGAATACGTAGGCCAACAATCTTATATCTAGCTTAATAAAGTGTATATATATATATATATATAATATATATATATATATATATTTAATAAAGTAAAAGGTAAAAACATTCTCCTACACAAAAAATTAAAATAAATACACCAAAGTTTCCCTTAAGTATCACTGCCAATCCAATAGTGTTCTTTCTAGGTTTGGTGTATATCCTCCCAGATTGTTTTTCTATGCATTTTAATAAATACAGTTTACTACAAAACATGCATAATGTGCTATAACAAAAATGGTATCAGACATTGCATTCTACAATTTCCTTTCCTTACTCAAACATCTTAAGATAGCTCCCCATGGCAGCATATTGATTCGGTATGCTAGTTAAGGTGGGTGAAAGTCAATGAGATATTTGTGACATGAGTGGAGCAGGAAGGTTAGGCAAGAAGGAAAAGAGCCTGACAGCTAAACTAGTAAAGATCATAAGCCAGACAGAGCACCACATATGTCACAGCCTCAGAGCTCGAGGGCCAGAAAAAGTGACAAATAATAAAGTGGGGGGTTAAAAGATAGGTTTGTGATTAATACAGTCTATGCTTACACAGCACTAAAAAAAAGAATAGAAAGACAAAACACAGAACATAGGTTAATATAAACTCTTTGCTTACCTACCATTAAAAAAAAAAAGACCAGAATGGTAATATGCAAAATATATTTTCTCAATAGAATTATAAAATATACTGTGTCCGTGTGTTTGTGTCTGTGTTTGTATGTAATGTATGTCTGCATGCTTTTCTTTCTGATTCTCTACCATGGCTAATTCTTACTTGTACACTCAGGGAGGAAATGGCCTTTCAATTTAAGACAATAAAATGTTTAACTAAATTCTACAAATCTTGATATAAGTAATAAATTACGATGAACGAGAGTGTAAACCAAGAGCAGAAAAAGGGACATTTTCATGCCCTCATTCTACTCCGTGGGGCAGAGGAATATAAATGGGAAGGCAAATTCAGTTACTTAGCTGCCACAGACACGTTGTGGCTGCCTGCTATGGGCCATCCATATCAGTCAAAGTTGAAGGAATTTCTAAGTTACCGAAACAAAAGCAGCAGTTGCTCTTTTATAAAACTTAAGTCTGTTTAGGATTTTCCTTACAAATGTAACTGTAACAGATGCAACACATATAAATTTATTTCATTACATATCTACAACTGTAGATCACAGGCATGAATAAAATCTTAAAACACAAGATGGCACTGTTACTCTAAAAAAGACTAAACAGTTTCAGAGGGGAGAGGAAAAATAAGCACCTTAGACATCATCTAATCCAAAACCCCTCATTTTCCTCTTCTGAGGAAACAGCACACAGAAAGATTTCCAAAGGCCAAACAGCTGGTTACAGCAGAGCGGGGCCAAGGACAACAGAGAAAGCTCCTTTATGAGGCACCTGAATCAGAGTGCAAGTTGGAGCAGATGGCAGCTGGAGTTAATGATGTATGTACTCTGAACTGGAAGAGTGGAACTTCATTCTACGTGGAAAATCTTTCAAGCCCAAAATACTAATTGCAATCGTTTCAATTATTTTCCCTCGTTCTTTGTTTCAGTATCACAATACAAATGAGTTTCCTTTCTAGCAAACTAGTTAGGAAATTCACTGGATTCTTTTCTGTGCAATGTACAGTGTCCCAATAGCACTTTGTTTTCCACCACAGTACTACCAATAGAATGAGACTAACAAAGCCTAATGAAAATGTAAAAAAAAAAAAAAAAAAAATAGTAAGGAACTCACATTATTGGTAAACCTAGCATGTTGTTAAATCAACAAAGTAACAAGAAGGGCATCTTAAGAGTTGGGCAATAGTCCCGGGTTTACATCAAATTTTCAGCACACCAATGAGATCATCTGAGTCTCATCCTTCTTAAAATAAAGAACTCGATCAGATCTCTTTCTAACTATCTATTTTCTTATTTCTGAAGCCTAGTTCTTTTGCTTTTTACTTTGGACTCTTCCCACCCAAAGAAAAGCTTTTTTAAATAAACCAAATAGCCAATATTATTTTCAGATTGAAAATAAGATGGGTTCTAAAGTAGCTCATCATAGTCTTATAATAAATGTTAGACAAGTTTCGTTACATTTTCCTTCTAGAATTGTATCTTTCTCAAAGATACACAACATTAGTTAATTCCTTGCTGTTTTGGCAAAAAAAAAAAAGTTTCAAATCATCTAATACCCAATTGTCCACCCTAATTTCAGGTTCTATTTTCTTAACCATTATAAACGTTCAGTGTTTTCCATTTCAGAATCTCATTAGTATAAGTAATTACATTTCTTCAGGGTATTTTCTCTGCCAAGTGGAAAGCAGCTGAATACAAAAAATATTAAAACTTTTTCAGAGCATAGTTGAAAGGGTATTCATATCAATTAAAAGAAAGGTAAGTGAGCTTTGTTTTTGTTTGTGGTACTGCCTAAGAGTATACGTACACAACTTTTGATAATGGCAGAAATTAGTGGTCCTCTTAACTTTTCCAGAATTAAGTCAGTTACTATATGATGTATCAGTACCTAAGTAATTCCAAACATTATGCTGGCATGCAAAAATTCTGACCATTTTTGATTTATAGAAGCTAGGTGACCATCAGAAAAAGAATATCTATTATAAATAAAGAATTAAATTAGATAAAAGACCTAAGCTTTTAATTGTTTGAAATTCACAATATTTACTCAAGAATAAAATTCTGGATGGAGCTTCCAACAAGTAGGCAGGCACACGCTATCCCCGGAGCCCAGCCTATTTAGGACCCCTGCACCTTACCATCGGTGTGCAGAGGAGGGGCTAGGCAGATCTGGGGCACCTACATCCGCCTCCCCATGTGTCTGGAGGACTGAGGATATCTCAGCAAGCAGGGAAGCATCGCAGGTTCCAGAGGCCCCACGGCCTGTGCTAAGTGCTCAGCGCACTCTGCTCAAAGCCCAGACTGTTCAGGACCCTCCAGTTAAGTGGATAAGTGGTTTGAGGCATCTACATCCGCCTCCCCATTCCAGCTGCACCTGGAGAACTGTGGAGCTTCCAACAAGCAGGGGGACGCACAGTGTCCCTGAAGACCAGCTTATCTGGAACTACAGAGTTCTAAACAGGCAGAAGAGGGCCACTGGTTCTATAGGCCCAGTGGCTTGGGGTAACGGGGTGCCAGAGTCTCAGGAGCTGCGAACATAGAAGGGGATTTCCAACAGACCTTGATGAAGCTTTCAAATAACACAGAAACACAGAAATATAGGAAAATGACAAAACGAAAGACCAAATTACAACCTCAAACCTCCAGCCCATCTCAAGAAACCCTAGGAGCAATGTATATAGAAGAAAATATATGCCATTCACCTCAAATATCGGACACAATAGCTACTGAAATTAACAAGTAACTCCAGGAAGTTTTAAAGAAATTCAAACTCGAAATAATCTCCCAGGTAAAAGAAGAAATGATAAAAGAAATGAAAGAGATTCTGAATATATCTAAAGAAAACACAATTTAAAAATTGGAGGAACTAAACAAAAAGATAGAATCCCTAGATGAGCAATACAAGAAACAAACAGAATACATAATGCAGATGCACAGAGATATACAGGAAATAAAATACTCCACTGAAAGTTGTAAAAACCGCCTTAATGAAAGTGAAGATAGAATTTCAGACCTTGAAGACAGGATTGCAGCTAGTGAACAGGAAAGGAAAGATCATTTAAAAATAACAAGGAATCAGGAAACAACAATTCAACAACTGCAAGATGATGCAAAGAAAAATAACATAAGAATGATAGGGATTAATGAAAAAGAAGGAGACAACATAAAGGATGTCAAGAGGATATTTAGAGAACTAATAGCTGAAAATTTCCCAACCATGAGATCAGAAACCGACATCAGGATCAGTGAAGCATATAGAACTCCAAATAGTCATAACCAAAATAAAACTACACCCAGACATATAATAATCATCATCCCAGAAATCCAAGACACAAGAATAGATTATTAAAAGCTGTCAGAGAGAAAAGACAGATCACTTATAAAGGAAAACCTATCAGAAGCATAGCAGACTTCTCATCACAAACAATAAATTCAAGAAGAGCATGGAATGAAGTATTCCAGATCCTAAAGCAAAATGATTTCCAACCTACACTGATGTATCCTGCAAAACTATCATTCAAAATTGATGGTGAAATACGATACTTCCATGACAAAGAACAGCTGAAGAACTTTATGAACACCAAACCAACCCTGCAAAAAATATTGAAAGACAGTTTAGATACACAAAGGAAAAAACCACTAAGCAAAGCAGATAATTAAACAGAATAGAAAGATAAAGATGCAACAGCAGAGAGATAACATGTCAACAATAAACCAGCATTTAACAGTAATAACCATTAATGTAAATGGTCTCAATGCACCAATCAAAAGAAACAGACTAGCAGAATGGATCAAG